CCCACTCACTCACCCACTCACACTCACCCACTCACTCACACACTCACCCACTCATACTCACCCACTCACACTCACCCACTCACTCAACCTCACTCACTCAACCTCACTCACACTCACCCACTCACGCTCACCCACTCACTCACACTCACCCACTCACCCACTCACACTCACCCACTCACTCACCCACTCACGCTCACCCATTCACACTCACCCAATCACACTCACTCACACTCACTCACACACTCACACTCACCCACTCACACCCACCCAATCACACGCACCTACTCACACTCACCAACTCACACTCGCCCACTCACACTCATCCACTCACACTCACCCACTCACCCGCTCACACTCACCCACTCACACTCACCCAATCACACTCACCCAATCACACTCACCCACTCACTCACACTCACTCACTCACACTCACCCAATCACACTCACCCACACACTCACACTCACCCACTCACACTCACCCACTCACGCTCACCCACTCACACTCACCCACTCACACTCACTCACTCAGACTCACTCACTCACTCACACTCACTCACACTCACCCACTCACACTCACTCATTCACCCAATCACACTCACCTACTCACACTCACCACCCACTCACTCTCAATCACCCACTCACCACCCACTCACCACCCACTCACTCACTCTCAATCACCCACTCACCACCCACTCACCACCCACTCACTCTCAATCACCCACTCGCCACCCACTCACCACCCACTCACTCTCAATCACCCACTCACCACCCACTCACCACCCACTCACCACCCACTCACTCTCAATCACCCACTCACCACCCACTCACCACCCACTCACCACCCACTCACTCTCAATCACCCACTCACCACTCACTCACCACCCACTCACTCTCAATCACCCACTCAGCACCCACTCACCACCCACTCACCACCCACTCACTCTCAATCACCCACTCACCACCCACTCACAACTCACCACCCACTCACCACCCACTCACTCTCAATTACCCACTCACCACCCACTCACCACTCACTCACCACCCACTCACCACCCACTCACCACCCACTCACTCTCAATCACCCACTCACCACCCACTCACAACTCACTCACCACCCACTCACCACCCACTCACTCTCAATTACCCACTCACCACCCACTCACCACTCACTCACCACCCACTCACCACCCACTCACGCTCACCACCGACTCCCACTCACCACCCACTCACCACCCGCTCACTCTCAATCACCCACTCACCACCCACTCACCACCCACTCACTCTCAATCACCCACTCACCACCCACTCACCACCCACTCACCACCCACTCACTCTCACCACCCACTCACCACCCACTCACTCACCACCCACTCACTCACCACCCACTCCCACTCACCACCCACTCACCACCCACTCACTCACCACCCACTCACTCACCACCCACTCACTCACCACCCACTCACTCACCACCCACTCACTCACCACCCACTCACCACCCACTCACCACCCACTCACCACCCACTCACGCTCACCACCCACTCTCACTCACCACCCACTCACCACCCACGCACCACCCACTCCCACTCACCACCCACTCACACTCACCACCCACTCACACTCACCACCCTACTCACCACCCACTCACCACCCACTCACCACCCACTCACCACCCACTCACACTCACCACCCACTCACCACCCACTCACACTCACCACCCACTCACACTCACCACCCACTCACCACCCACTCACCACCCACTCACCACCCACTCACACTCACCACCCACTCACCACCCACTCACACTCACCACCCACTCACCACCCACTCACACTCACCACCCTACTCACCACCCTACTCACCACCCTACTCACCACCCACTCACCACCCACTCACCACCCACTCACACTCACCACCTACTCACACTCACCACCCACTCACCACCCACTCCCACTCACCACCCACTCACCACCCACTCCCACTCACCACCCACTCACACTCACCACCCACTCACACTCACCACCCTACTCACCATCCTACTCACCACCCACTCACCACCCACTCACCACCCACTCACACTCACCACCCACTCACACTCACCACCCACTCACCACCCTACTCACCACCCACTCACACTCACCACCCACTCACACTCACCACCCACTCACCACCCACTCACACTCACCACCCACTCACCACCCACTCACACTCACCACCCCACTCACCACCCACTCACTCTCAATCACCCACTCAGCACCCACTCACCACCCACTCACTCTCAATCACCCACTCACCACCCACTCACAACTCACTCACCACCCACTCACCACCCACTCACTCTCAATTACCCACTCACCACCCACTCACCACTCACTCACCACCCACTCACCACCCACTCACGCTCACTACCCACTCCCACTCACCACCCACTCACCACCCGCTCACTCTCAATCACCCACTCACCACCCACTCACCACCCACTCACTCTCAATCACCCACTCAGCACCCACTCACCACCCACTCACCACCCACTCACTCTCACCACCCACTCACCACCCACTCACTCACCACCCACTCCCACTCACCACCCACTCACCACCCACTCACCACCCACTCACTCACCACCCACTCACTCACCACCCACTCACCACCCACTCACTCACCACCCACTCACCACCCACTCACCACCCACTCACCACCCACTCACTCACCACCCACTCACCACCCACTCGCCACCCACTCACGCTCACCACTCACCACGCACTCACCACCCACTCACCACCCACTCACACTCACCACCCACTCACCACCCACGCACCACCCACTCCCACTCACCACCCACTCACACTCACCACCCACTCACACTCACCACCCTACTCACCACCCACTCACCACCCACTCACCACCCACTCACCACCCACTCACACTCACCACCCACTCACCACCCACTCACACTCACCACCCACTCACCACCCACTCACACTCACCACCCACTCACCACCCACTCACCACCCACTCACACTCACCACCCACTCACCACCCACTCACACTCACCACCCTACTCACCACCCTACTCACCACCCACTCACCACCCACTCCCACTCACCACCCACTCACCACCCACTCACACTCACCACCCTACTCACCACCCTACTCACCACCCTACTCACCACCCACTCACCACCCACTCACCACCCACTCACACTCACCACCCACTCACACTCACCACCCACTCACCACCCACTCACACTCACCACCCACTCACACTCACCACCCACTCCCACTCACCACCCACTCACCACCCACTCACACTCACCACCCTACTCACCACCCTACTCACCACCCACTCACCACCCACTCACCACCCACTCACCACCCACTCACACTCACCACCCACTCACACTCACCACCCACTCACCACCTACTCACACTCACCACCCACTCACCACCCACTCACACTCACCACTCTACTCACCACCCTACTCACCACCCACTCACCACCCACTCACCACCCACTCACACTCACCACCCACTCACCACCCACTCACCACCCACTCACACTCACCACCCACTCACCACCCACTCACACTCACCACCCACTCACCACCCACTCACCACCCACTCACACTCACCACCCACTCACCACCCACTCACACTCACCACCCACTCACCACCCACTCACACTCACCACCCTACTCACCACCCTACTCACCACCCACTCACCACCCACTCACCACCCACTCACCACCCACTCACACTCACCACCCACTCACCACCCACTCACCACCCACTCACACTCACCACCCACTCACCACCCACTCACCACCCACTCACACTCACCACCCACTCACCACCCACTCACACTCACCACCCTACTCACCACCCTACTCACCACCCACTCACCACCCACTCACCACCCACTCACACTCACCACCCACTCACCACCCACTCCCACTCACCACCCACTCACCACCCACTCACCACCCCACTCACCACCCACTCACTCACCACCCACTCACCACCCACTCACCACCCCTACTCACCACCCACTCACCACCCACCCGCTCTCCCTTGGCGCGCACACACACACACACAGAGTGGCGGGGGTAATGGGACGCGGGATTTACAGTTTTACGTTAGGCTTGACACTGTCGTGAGCACAAACCCACGAACCACATTTACAGTCCTATCGAGCCTTCTCCTCCCTCCCTCTGTCTCTCTCTGCTTCGGAACCCCTGGAGGCTATCGGCTCTTCCACGTGCCCTCGGTTGTAAAGTCGTCCGCACTTTGAAGACGTGTCTTTTGATTTAAAGCTTTCGAGACCGCGGGCATTCACGTTCTCGGTTCTCTCGGTAAAGTCGCCACGTGGAGGGGGGGAAACAATGAAATGATTGAAATATAGAATCGATAAAATTCTCGCGACGTCTCGACCGCGACACAAGCAGTCCATCATCAGGTTTTCGCACGTACAATGTTCATGACGTCGTAAGAATTTTATTTCGAGTTAAAGCTTTCGTGACTGCAATGATTCATCTTCTTTGGTTCTTTCGGTAAAGTCACCACCACGTAGAATGAGAATAAAATAATAAATTGATGAAATAAAATAACACAATAATATTCTCACGACGTTTCGGCCACAACACAAGCGGCCTTCATCAGGTGAAGGGACGAGACTGTCTGGTAGGACAGCGCTGGAGTGAAAGAGCCACGTTCAGATCGCGACCTTTAAGCCTCAACTTTAGCACCACGGATAGCGACTCTAAGCTAATGATGAAGGCCGCTTGTGTTGTGGCCGAAACGTCGTGAGAATATTATTGTGTTATTTTATTTTATCAATGTATTATTTTATTCTCATTCTACGTGGTGGTGACTTTACCGAAAGAACCAAAGAAGAAGAATTTTATTGTTTCGGATTTTTATTATTTTCTTGTTTTCCCTTCTGCGTGACTTTTGCCAAAAGCACCATCAATGAGACGTAGCTCTTGTTTGTTACTTTCTGACAGCCCCGCCGCGGTCGACGTTCCGAGCTCGCCCGACGGGATGTGCGTCTGAGCGAGCCGTTCGTCCACAAGGTAGGCGCCGGGGAAAGTGCATCGTCTCTCCGTCTCTCTGATTGTCACTCTCTCACTCGCTGTCTGTCTCGGAGAGAGAGAGACACCCAGACCCAGAGCTTGAACCCTGACCCCAGGGTCTCAGCGTCTCCCACACGGCCACTGTGAACCCCCTGAGAGAGAGACACCCAGACCCAGGGCTTGAACCCTGACCCCAGGGTCTCAGCGTCGCCCACACGGCCACTGTGAACCCCCTGAGAGAGACACCCAGACCCAGGGCTTGAACCCTGACCCCAGGGTCTCAGCGTCTCCCACACGGCCACTGTGAACCCCTTGAGAGAGAGAGAGACACCCAGACCCAGGGCTTGAACCCTGACCCCAGGGTCTCAGCGTCTCCCACACGGCCACTGTGAACCCCCTGAGAGAGAGACACCCAGACCCAGGGCTTGAACCCTGACCCCAGGGTCTCAGCGTCGCCCACACGGCCACTGTGAACCCCCTGAGAGAGACACCCAGACCCAGGGCTTGAACCCTGACCCCAGGGTCTCAGCGTCGCCCACACGGCCACTGTGAACCCCCTGAGAGAGAAACACCCAGATCCAGGGCTTGAACCCTGACCCCAGGGTCTCAGCGTCTCCCACACGGCCATCGTGAACCCTGTGATGGACCCTTGGCTTGCGTAGTGCCCTGCCAGTGTTTGTGTTGGCGTGGTCCCGACAGGGTTCACAATGGCCGGTTCCCTGGCCGCGCTGTGTGGCCTGGGTGGGTGAATGTTAGCAGAGGGTGGGCTACAGAATCAACACTCCCTGCGTGGCGAGTCTATGGGTCCTTGCGTGGCGAGTCTGTGGGTCTCTGTGTGGTGAGTCTGTGGGTCTCTGTGTGGTGATTCTGTGTGGTGAGTCTATGGGTATCTGTGGTGATGGTGTGGGTCTCTGTGTGGTGAGTCTGTGTGGTGAGCGTGTGATGAGTCTGCATGGTGAGTCTGTGTAGTGAGTCTGCGTGGTGAGTCTATGGGTCTCTGTGTGGTGATGATGTGGGTCTCTGTGTGGTGAGTCTGTGGGTCTCTGTGTAGTGAGTCTGCGTGGTGAGTCTATGGGTCCCTGTGTGGTGAGTCTGTGTGGTGAGTCTGTGTGGTGAGTCAATGGGTCTCTGTGTGGTGAGTCTGTGTGGTGAGTCTGTGTGGTGAGTCTATGGGTCTCTGTGTGGTGAGTCTGTGTGTTGAGTCTGTGTGGTGAGTCTATGGGTCTCTGTGTGGTGAGTCTGTGTGTTGAGTCTGTGTGGTGAGTCTGCGTGGTGAGTCTATGGGTCCCTGTGTGGTGAGTCTGTGTGGTGAGTCTGTGTGGTGAGTCTATGGGTCTCTGTGTGGTGAGTCTGTGTGTTGAGTCTGTGTGGTGAGTCTATGGGTCTCTGTGTGGTGAGTCTGTGTGTTGAGTCTGTGTGGTGAGTCTATGGGTCTCTGTGTGGTGAGTCTGTGTGGTGAGCGTGTGGTGAGTCTGTGTGGCGAGTCTGTGTGGTGAGTCTGTGGGTCTCTGTGTCGTGAGTCTATGGGTCTCTGTGTGGTGAGTCTATGGGTCTGCGTGGTGAGCCTATGGGTCTCTGTGTGGTGAGTCTGTGGGTCTCTGTGTGGTGGTGAGTCTGTGTGGCGAGTCTGTGTGGTGAGTCTATGGGTCTCTGTGTGGTGAGTCTGTGTGGTGAGTCTGTGTGGTGAGTCTATGGGTCTCTGTGTGGTGGTGAGTCTGTGGGTCTCTGTGTGGTGGTGAGTCTGTGGGTCTCTGTGTGGTGAGTCTGTGTGGTGAGTCTGTGTGGTGAGTCTGTGGGTCTCTGTGTGGTGAGTCTGTGTGGTGAGTCTGTGTGGTGAGTCTGTGGGTCTCTGTGTGGTGAGTCTGTGTGGTGAGTCTGTGTGGTGAGTCTGTGTGGTGAGTCTGTGTGGTGAGTCTGTGTGGTGAGTCTGTGTGGCGAGTCTGCGGTGTTTGTGAGCGAGAGCGTGCCGAGTCTGGGTGGTGAGTCTATGGGTCTCTGTGTGGTGGTGAGTCTATGGGTCTCTGTGTGGTGAGCGTGTGGTGAGTCTGTGTGGTGAGTCTATGGGTCTCTGTCGTGAGTCTGTGTGGTGAATCTGTGGGTCTCTGTGTGGTGGTGAGTCTATGGGTCTCTGTGTGGTGGTGAGTCTGTGGGTCTCTGTGTGGTGGTGAGTCTGTGGGTCTCTGTGTGGTGGTGAGTCTATGGGTCTCTGTGTGGCGAGTCTGCGGTGTTTGTGAGCGAGAGTGTTTTCCGTCGCGCACTCCCCTCGCCACAGTCGCGTCCGCAGGCGGGAGCCGATAGCGGGCACCCCAACCGCAGGCCCACCACTCGCTCAGCCAGCCTGCCCCTCTACTGCTGTAGTTATAACTCTACCAGCAACAACAACAACCACCCTCACATCACTCAGCTCCCCACTCACTCAGCCCCCCACTCACTCAGCCCCCCACTCACTCAGCCCCCCACTCACTCAGCTCCCCACTCACTCAGCCCCCCACTCACTCAGCCCCCCACTTAGCCCCCCACTCACTCAGCCCCCCACTCACTCAGCCCCCCACTCACTCAGCCCCCCACTCACTCAGCCCCCCACTCACGCAGCCCCCCACTCACCTCCCCACTCACCCCCCACCTCACCCAACAACTTACCCCTCCACTCACCCCTCCACTCACCCCCCCACTCACCCCTCCACTCACCCCTCCACTCACCCCCCCACTCACCCCCCCACTCACCCCTCCACTCACCCCCCACTCACCCCTCCACTCACCCCCCCACTCACCCCTCCACTCACCCCCCACTCACCCCTCCACTCACCCTCCACTCACCCCTCCACTCACCCTCCACTCACCCCCTACTCACCCCCCCACTCACCCTCCCACTCACCCCCCACTCACCCCCCCACTCACCCCTCCACTCACCCCCCACTCACCCTCCCACTCACCCCCCACTCACCCCTCCACTCACCCCTCCACTCACCCCTCCACTCACCCCCCCACTCACCCCTCCACTCACCCCCCCACTCACCCCCCCACTCACCCCCCACTCACCCCTCCACTCACCCCTCCACTCACCCCCCCACTCACCCCCCCACTCACCCCCCCACTCACCCCCCTCACTCACCCCCTCCACTCACCCCTCCGCTCACCCCTCCACTCACCCCTCCACTCACCCCTCCACTCACCCCCCCCCACTCACCCCCCCACTCACCCCCCCACTCACCCCCCTCACTCACCCCCTCCACTCACCCCCCCACTCACCCCCCCACTCACCCCCCACTCACCTACACTCACCCCCCCACTCACCCCCCCCCACTCACCCCCCCCCCACTCACCCCCCACTCACCCCCCCCCCCACTCACCCCCCACTCACCTAGATTCAGCCGCTCCTGCCCATCAAAGGAGTTTCTTCTGTGGAACTTTGATCTCCCGAGTTAAATTGTAACAGAGCCACTGCTGTGGGAGACACTGAGACCCTGGGGTCAGGGTTCAAACCCTGGGTCTGGGTGTCTCTCTCTCAGGGGGTTCACAGTGGCCGTGTGGGAGACGCTGAGACCCTGGGGTCAGGGTTCAAGCCCTGGGTCTGGGTGTCTCTCTCTCTCTCAGGGGGTTCACAGTGGCCGTGTGGGAGACGCTGAGACCCTGGGGTCAGGGTTCAGGCCCTGGGTCTGGGTGTCTCTCTCTCTCTCTCAGGGGGTTCACAGTGGCCGTGTGGGAGACGCTGAGACCCTGGGTTCAGGGTTCAAGCCCTGGGTCTGGGTGTCTCTCTCTCTCTCTCAGGGGGTTCACGGTGGCCGTGTGGGAGACGATGAGACCCTGGGGTCAGGGTTCAAGCCCTGGGTCTGGGTGTCTCTCTCTCTCTCAGGGGGTTCACAGTGGCCGTGTGGGAGACGCTGAGACCCTGGGGCTGGGTGTCTCTCCGTGTCAGGGGCTTTCACTGACCCAGCGCTGCTGAGGCTCTGGGTTGGTCGGTGGTGCAGCGTTCCGTGCTACGCTGTGCTCCGAACCCGAGTTCACGACCACCAGCACCACCGGTGACGGTTATCTGAACCCTATCGTGGGTCTACTCCCCTAGGTCGACTCGGCCTAAAATGAGCACCTGGTGCAGCTGTGTTTAGTGGTACACATCGCCACTGGGAGAGAGACAAAGGCGGCCGGGCGTGGTGGTGGTGCTGGCCAGCCATCCCCTCTGTGTGTGTCTCTTTGTGCGTGTGTCTGTGTGCGTGTCACTAGTGAGTGAGTGAGTGGGTGAGTGAGTGGGTGGGTGAGTGAGTGGGTGGGTGAGTGAATGTGAGTGTCTGTGTGTGTGTATCTCTGTGTGTGTCTCTGTGTGTGTATCTGTGTGTGTCACTAGTGGGTGAGTGAATGTGAGTGTGTATGTGTATCTCTGTGTGTGTATCTCTGTGTCTGTATCTCTGTGTGTGTGTCTCTGTGTGTGTGTGTGTCTGTGTGTGTGTCTCTGTGTGTGTGTCACTAGTGAGTGAGTGGGTGGGTGAGTGAATGTGAGTGTGTGTGTCTGTGTGTGTGTGTGTCTCTGTGTGTGTGTCACTAGTGAGTGAGTGGGTGGGTGAGTGAATGTGAGTGTCTGTGTGTGTGTATCTCTGTGTGTGTCTCTGTGTGTGTATCTGTGTGTGTCTCTGTGTGTGTCACTAGTGGGTGAGTGAATGTGAGTGTCTGTGTATGTGTATCTCTGTGTGTGTATCTCTGTGTCTGTATCTCTGTGTGTGTGTCTCTGTGTGTGTGTGTGTCTGTGTGTGTGTCTCTGTGTGTGTGTCACTAGTGAGTGAGTGGGTGGGTGAGTGAATGTGAGTGTCTGTGTGTGTGTGTCTGTGTGTGTGTGTCTCTGTGTGTGTGTCACTAGTGAGTGAGTGAGTGGGTGAGTGAATGTGAGTGTCTGTGTGTGTGTTTCTCTGTGTGTATCTCTGTGTGTCTCTGTGTGTGTGTCTCTGTGTGTGTGTGTCACTAGTGAGTGAGTAGGTGAGTGAGTAAGTGGGTGAGTGAATGTGAGTGTC